GATGACAAAGAAGGGGAAATGGATTCACAGCAGGGGTGTAGTGATCTGGGACACACTGCCTGAAAGGATGATGGAAGCAGATTGAAGAGGAACAGTACAAAGGGAATTTAATCAAAAGCTGGAGCTCAATAAACTGCAGGACATTATGGAAAAAGCCAGGGAGCAGAAGTAACTGGACAAGTCTTTCAAAGAGCCAGAACAGGTATGATGGCTGAATGGCCTCCCTCTGTGAAAGACCTCAATTCAGTGTGTGTTAACTACCCTCCCCAACCTTGTGGCCCTTAGTTACAGATGAAACAAGGAACATGTTACTGTGAATTTACCAAATTACTGTACCACAGGGTGTCTCCTCTCTCACCAAGAGAGATTCTGTCTTGGTAAACAGCTCACCTCAAGGTGCTTAACCCAAGTGAATGTAGAGACCAACTTGACTCACCCAATGTGAAACACAGGCTAATTTAAAATCTACAAAGACCACTCCCTCCAGTGCCCCAATCTGGCAAGGCTGCTCTGCATGTAGTTTTGATGGTCTTTGTAACAATAGTTCATCATTCTTCCCTCATAATGACAATGACTCCACCTTAAAAGGGTCAGTTAGCTGGATGGTAGCAGCATGGGTTTAATGCCTTCACCAGCTGGGTTACCATGAAGGACTCTCCTTCTCAACCTCTCCCATTGCATGGTGACCCTCAGATTAAACCACCACCAACCATCTCTCTTTCATGAGAGAGCAGCCCTATGGTCTGGTGACTTTACATTTACACTTTCAGAAGCTCTCTGGGATTTTGGTGCTGAGGTTGTGAAAGCTGCTTTAGAAGTTCACGCTTGTTCCTTCTTCCCTCCCTGAGATTGTACAAGATTGGTAACTGGATCATTCAGTTCTACCACAGAGGACTCACAGCCACACACCTCCCTGAAATCAGCCGATTCTCTCCTCCCCTCCACTGCTAGGCCAGGGGCACTGATATCTACTGTTGCTCCTAAAGGGCAGCGTTCACTGAGCAGCACCCTGACAGTTACCCCAGGGGCAATGTGTTCATTTTAGGGAATCTTACATGACACAGACAGACTATCTAACCCATCAGCTTCCTCAGGGGCAGTTCCAGTCCCTGCTCTCCCTTCCCACAGCCCTTATACATTGTTTCTCCTTCAAATATTTGTCCGATCTTCTTTTGGAAATTACTGGAATCAGCTCCTACCACCCTTTCAGGCAGTGCATTTTAGATCTCAGCAGCTCATGGCGTGAGAAAGATTTGTCTTCACCTTGGTTCTTTTGTTGTTTTCTTCAACCTGCCTTCTCAGGTTAGAATCCTCTTCCACTGGGGGAAAAAAAGAAGTTCCTCTTTATTTAATCAGAATTTTAAACACCTGTACGGAATCTCCTCGTGATTTTCTCTGACGTAACAACCACAACTTATCCTCGTTCCCTACAGAACTGAAGGCCCTCATTGCTATCACATTCTAGTCAATCTGTTCTGCATTCTCTCCAAAGCAAATCACAAAAAGCCAGAAAAGCGGCCTAAGCTTTGAATAAGAGATATAGTTCAACATGCCTGATACACTGGCCAGCAGAGGACTCAATTAATATTCAACAGAGCGGCACAGAACTAGACAATGAGCAAGAGAGAGATACCTAGACAGAAAAAGAGGTAGAGAGAGAGAGAGACAGACACACACAAAGAGGCAGACAAGCACAGAGAAAGAGCACGCTAGAGAGAGAGAAAGGCGGGGAGAGAGAGAGAGAATGCCAGGCAGACAACCACACAAAGAGAGACAGCCAGACAGAGAGAGAGCCAGACAGAGAGCGAGACAGGAGGCAGTGGGATCAGAGAGCATGCAGACTGACGAGTGAGCTGAAACTCAGCTGCAGGAATTTGAAAAAAAACACTCCAATTTTGCTTTCATTTCATCCACGACATGCTTTACTGAGACTTCTCACGGATTGAAGCATTCCCAAGGGATTGGGGCGGGAGAGTTTGTAGCTCGTTGCATGCATTCCTTTCCTAAGAACACTTTGTTTAAAAAAAATCCTCCATTCTCTGCTTCCCATGGCTTGCTGCCGATTAGACACACACTGCATGAACTGGCTTTCCTCTCTAATGTATTCCTTTTCCTTTTCATCAATTATTTAGCCCTCACCCACCATGGCCATGGGCAGGCAGAAGCACACACTTAGGAACAAGCCATTCAGCCTCTCCATTCAATTGGATGTCTATCTGTACTTCTTCACAATATTTTCCAGTCTATGCTCCCTGGCCCTTGATTACCAACAAAAAGCTTTCCCTCTCATATTGGGAAATCTCAATCAACCCTCAGCATCGACAGTCTTTTGGGGAAGAAAGTCTGACATTCCCAATACCCCTAATGTGAAAACAGGATTCCTGACATCACCTGCCCCTCACTTTATGATTCTGCCATTTCTGGCAGATTTCCAAGTGAGATTAACATTTTTAAATGGTGGATCAACAATGATACTATGTGAGATTTGGCGAGTGTTTGGAAACTGGCATAGGTTTGGTTTTGCTGACATTTGTTATGTCGAAATTACAAATTAATTTTAGTACACCTTTCATCATAGAAAATAGCAGGAGTAGGCCATTCAGTCCTTCAAACCTGTTTCACCATTCATTGTGATCATGACTGATCATTCAACTCCATAGTCTTTTCCTGCTTTTCTCCCACATGCTTCGATCCCTTTAGCCCCAAGTGTTATATCGAACTCCTTGAAATCATATGATGTTTTGGCCTCAACTGCTTTCTGTTGGAGTGAATTTCACAGGCTCACCCACTTCAGAGCCTTTCCTAAATGTTTATAGCCAGCAACTCACTTTTTGAAGTGTGGTCACTGCTGTAAGGCAGGAAACACAGCAAATAATTTGCACACAGAAAGCTCACACAAACAACATAATAACAGCCAGATCATCTGTTTCCCCTGAGGCTTGTTGAGTCAATATTGACCAGGATGCCCAGGACAACTTCCTTGTTCTGCTCTGAAGCATGCCATGGGATCTTTTATTAAGAACAAAAGAGGTCTCAGTTTTACACCTCATCTGAAAGATGGCACCTCGCACACAGCAATGCTAGCTCAGCGGCACTTGAATCAAGGGTTTGTGTTCAAGGCCCCACAGTGTAAGATGAACCCACAATAGTATCCAAACCACCTGGAATTCTCAAGGAATCTTCATCAGCAGCGAGCCAAGAGATGCCAGTTTGATCAGAGGCTGAGCGAGGTGTTGGTCATCAGTCAGAGCTGATCACAGGCCAAAACATTGTCAGAAATGTCACAATTAGACTCAGAATAGTCAAAGTAAGACAGCAGGAGGAAACTGGATATGCCAACCACAATTGGTCACCCTGCAATGACCCTTTACCAGACCGTCATAGTGGGAGGTAATACAACCAAGCTCAGTCATTCAACAGCACCGAAACAGTCTCAAGCTACCAGTCTCTGTCCTCTCCTGATCACATTCCCTGAAACTCGGCAGAAACAAATACTTCCTTGTGCGAATGTCGCTAAGCTTCCTCTCTGGACTGAAAGAGATAAGAGAAGATCAAAGCACATAACTCAATACACTCACAACATATTCTGACCCTCCTTAAAGTCACCCTGCTTAATTAAACTACACAAATCCCACTGCGTTCTTCTATCAGCTAGAGTGCAATGTCTCCTCCTTGGCTCATTGTCAACTCTTAGTGCAGCCCCACACCAGTCAGAAACGTCAAAAACTTCATATTCCAGAAACATGTCCCCACCAGTCCTGTACCCCAGTGTTACACAGCAACAGACCTGTGCCTACTGTACCGTACCCATGTTATACAGAGACAGACCTGACCCTACTAGTACTGAACCCATGTTATACAGTCAAAAATCACACGACACCAGGTTATAGTCCAACAGGTTTATTTGAAATAACAGGTTTCTTTTCAAATAAACCTGTTGGACTATAACCTAGTGTCATGTGATTTTTGACTTTGTCCACCCCAGTCCAACATTGGCATCTCCATATCGTGTTACACAGCGACAGGCCAGTCCCCACCAGTACTGTACCCCC